TCTGGGAAAAAAATGGTCAACCTTCAAATTATGGTTTCACCATCTAGTAGCTGAATGATCTTGGATATGTTACCTACTTTTTCTTAGCCTCATTTGAAAGCCAAGGATAATGAGAAATCTCTGCAGGACTGTTATAAGACTGCATGAGACAATGCAGCAAGACACTTAGATCACATAGCACACTTAGCCCTCAATTTGCATAACTATTGACTTTTGGTCAATTTAAATTATAGGCTTAACACTGAGAGTGTCTCTTATTGCATATGATAAAATTCTACCCCAGTGCTCTAAGTGGCATCCAATAAAATCATTTTGCTTAAAAACATGTTCTTCCATCATTGCTAGATCAATTAGAAATGGACCACCCTGTTGTGGAAGACAAGAAATTATCCTCACTATGTGTATTTTTAGTTTTTGTATTTGCTAAGTATGTTAACGAGGTACTTCACTCTAGTGGGTGGTGGGAAATAAAATATTTTAGTTGGGCTCATTCTACACTAATAAAATCAGGCATCTACCAGTAAGGTAAACAAAGACAGAAAGGACGACGAGTAGGCTGTTCACTTTCTACCTTAGAAGGTCTTTGAGAGCTCAGATAAAAAGAATAACCACAGCTAAGCAGAAAAGTGGACACATTTGAGAAGCATTTGTCAAAATTTAATATAAACTCATATCTTAATTAATACAATTGTATGGTCTTAAGTCAAAAGAAGATAATTCCTACATTTCTCTTAATTAGAAGGAACATTTTCATCTACATTGAATTATCAATTCAATGTAATTGCTAAGAGTTTCCTTTTATTTTTTTCTTGCTTGGATTCTTAATTAATTTAACCCATTTTAATATGTTTTGAATATTATGTTTGTTCTGAGAAGCAGGAAGGTAAAATATGAGCATTTTCTTAAATTTGACTTTAATATCATTCCATAGAGTAAACACCTCCCTTGTAATTGCCTTCAGCACCAAAGACCAAAATTAAAAGCTTGGCGAACTAGCACAAGAGAATAAATGTTGACATTTTAAAATATCTACAGCTGGATACTAAACACATTTAAGAATTTAGTATAAGCAGATATTTGAGTGATGACAGAGAATTTAAATTCCTCTACATAAAATTTCTCATTAGCAGGTTAGGAAACTGCAAATTAAGTGACTTGCAAAGCCCCAAAAGTTAGCAAGCTGTTGGAGCCTGGCTAGGATGATTCCTGCCTCAGTTTACTTTCCCTGGTAACTTGTCCCTTACTGTCCCCAAGGAAAAGGATATTTTCTTATTATTCAGATGTGAATCTCTAAAGCAAAGTTGCTTAACCACAGCAACATGGACATTGTAGACCAGATAATTCACTGTTACGGCGTGCACTGTGGAAAGATTCAGTGTTCCTAACTCACTATAAGCCAGTAACCCTCCCCTTCTGGAAACTGTCAAATACCCCTAGGGATAAATGGGCCCTAGTTAAGAACAACTGCTCTAAAGTCCTTTCCATCCCTAACATACTATGAACTTTATTTTAAAGAGAAAGAGTTGAGAAGCTTTACACAATTTCTTGTAAGAATTTTAAATCCTGTTATTCCTCCACACTTTTCATACCCTAAGTCAGGAAGTTCAGCACTCTTGTGCCTCTCTTGAAATCTCCATTTGCTGTGACAGCTTTCCCACTCTGTTCTCAATCCAGGCCTTGCCATTGTTGACTGGACTTTGCATCAGTAGCTACAGGGCCCAAGCATCTTTATTTGCTCTCGTTGAGATGAGATGATCAGTCAAAGGGAGGTACTAGGAGATGTTGGGATGGGCAGGAAGGAGAAGCCAGGGCACTTTTCCCTTGTCTGGTAACAACCATGAGTCACATCCATGGCCCCTACTCCTATGAGAGAATCCTACCTCTACTGTCCCTGAGCCTGTCCCTAGTGGTCCCAGAACCTGGACTCTGATAATGACACTGTCTCTATCTCTACAGATCTTTTAGTGAATGCAAATTTCTATGGTTGCTACTCTCTGTTGTATCTTGCTCTCTCATTTGGCATCTCTCTTCTTCTATCACCTGTAGAAGCAGTTTCTATGGATTGAATTGTGTCCACCTAAAATCCATTTGTTTGGGCCTTACCCCTCAACATGCTTGTATATGAAGAGGGAATTAAATGAGGTATTTTTCAAAAGATTTATTTATTTATGCATACAAGAACTGAAGTACAGGTTCGGAGTGAGAAGGGGAAGAGTGAGAGGATTCACCAGAGACAGAGTGAGAGGCAGAACAAGCAGACTGACTGAAATACACTGCTGGGGGGGCAGCAGGCAGGTCAGGAGAGGTCTACTGCTGTGCCATGTGGGTCATCTACTGGCTGGGGATTGAACTTGTGGTGCAGTGACTGCAGACAGCTTCATAATGCTGAGCTTTAACTCCTTGTGCCACCAGAGAGAGCCCTTAAATTACATATTAAAGGCAAAGCCCTGATCTGATAGAATTGGTGTCCTTATAAAAGCAGACACCAGAAAGCTAGCTCACTCAGGTACACATGCACTCTGTCTCTCTCTTTTCCTCTCTTAATTTACTAAGACAAACACATGAACAAACAATTATAAAACCAATTATTAGAAAGCCAGTTAGAGCATGGTCCACAGCCAGGTTTGAGGATGCAATTTTCAAGGTTGGAATTTCATGTCCACCAATCACTAACTGTTTGGCTCAGGGAAGCTATCTAACTTCTCTAAACCATCATTTTCTTTAAAAGTGAGGATAACAATAATATCTACACAATGCTATAGCAATAAGATGTAAGATAATGAAAGTTCAGTTTCTGATATACTTTTTGGGAGATGACTTGCATGCAGAGAAGGTTATCTGTATCAAAAACAGGGAAACATGGAAATGCTTTACCTACCATTAAATTTGAGGTTCCCCTAAACTTCCCACTCCTTCTCAATCACTCAGATCTACTTGATTGACTATCTTTTCTTCCCCCTTCTCAGAAGGGAGATTGAGTCTCTCATTTTTTTCTAGTATGAGTATAGATGAGCATAACTATGAAAGAAAATTTCTTGAGGGAATCTACTAAAGCTCAATATGTGAACATAAAGCAATTCCACTCCTACTGATTGATCCCAAAATGAGGATTTTTGCATATTACCAAGCATAGAAGAATGTTTATGGTAGCTTTATTCATAATAGTGCCAAATTAGAAGCTAACGCAGTACCTATCAAAACAAAGATGGATACATACACTGTGATTTATTTATATACAGTCACAATATTATCAATTATATAACCAAACAAACTGTACTTCCAGGCCATAATATAGATGAATCCCAAAAACAAAATGCTGAGGAAATAAACCAAAGTGCAAATTTACTGTATGATCTACAGAAAGTTCAACAGTAGACAGCATTAATTTCTTTCATAAAAATCAGAAAGGTTTTGGGCCCTCCCTGGTGGCGCAGCGGGTTAAAGCACAGCACTGAGAATCTAAAGCCGCTTCCGCATGAGTTCGATTCCCGCCTGCCCCGGAGGTGACCACATGGTGTGGCAGACCTCTCCTGACCCGCCTGCTGCTCCCTTCATCAGTGTACTTCGTCGATCTGCTTGTTCTGTTCCCCACTCTGTCTCTGGTGAATCCTCTCGCCGCCCCTGAACCTCTGGTCTGTACCCCAGTTCTGTATGCACAAATAAATAAATCTTTAAAAAAAAAAAATCAGAAAGGTTTTGGGAGGTCTTTACTGAGAAAGCAACCAGTGTGCTAGCAAATGTTTAACAAACAACTCTCAGAAAAGTAAATTTGAAAGCCCTGATATTATAGCATCTGCAATTTCTATGGTATAAATGTTTTCTCTATGGTAGATTTCAAGCTACCCAGGTTATGTCACCAAGCACAGAGTTGGAAAGATATGTCTATGAATAGCCTGTTCTGGCAAGGGGGTATGAGGTAACCTCTAGTGTTTTACTGAGAAGTAACATGGGGTGTTGTTCTGGTCTACTAGAAGGGTTCAGCATATTGATCTGGCTAATGCTTACAAAGGTTCATTTAAGATCTGATTCTTTCACTGTGAACTGCAACAAAGAGCAAAATGTAACAATATCCAGAAAAATTGGAAAGCAAAAAGTAGTTGTAAACACTATTTTTCAGCATTGATCCAGAGAGGTAACAGAGATATACAGTCTGAGAGACAGCAGTCAAATCTGCTCCAAAACAGGGAGAAAAGAGAGATACCATTAATAGACATCGACATAGAGAAAAGAGATGGCAATTTAGCTGACCTACACTCCATCTTTTCAATGTTATCTTCAATCTTATCATTAAAATGTATACATCTTTTCAATGTATACTTCAATCTTATCATTAAAATTGAGTACACTATACAGAATAGAATTTTGCTTTTAAAAAGATTTACTGTCTTGGCCCTCCCTGGTGGCTCAGCGGGTTAAAGCACAGCACTAAGAAGCCACTTCAGTATGAGTTCGATCCCAGCCCAGGAGGTGACCCACATGCCACAGCAGACCTCTCCTGACCTGCCCACTGCTCTCCTCAGCAGTGTATTTCAGTCAATCTGCCTATTCTGCTCTCCCCACTCTGTCTCTGGGGAAGCCTCTCACTGCCCCTGCACCTCTGGCCTGTACCCCAGTTCTGTATACATAAATAAATAAATCTTTAAAAAAAAATTTACTGTCTTAACTATCAATAACTATGACCCCATCACTTAGAGATGAAGATGACAACACTGATGACTTCAGAAAAACAACTGAAGCCCTGTACCACTTAAATGCAAAGATCATACATGGAAAAGCACCAATGTAAACAATATTGCGTTTGATTTGAGTCAAAATTCACATTCATATTATATTTCTTGTGTCTTAGGCTTTAATATGATTTCAGATATTTGTGGTCTAGGGAAATGAGGCATTTTAATAAGGCAACTACACCTTGCCTATACAGCACCCATTTATGATTATGATGTTATGAATTTAAAGGAAGTAGTTTTAACTGGTGATAGCTTGACATATCCACATTCTCAATCTTTCCCAATCTGGCAGTACAGGATCATAGAAAATACCAGACCAAGTACCTAGAAAACAAAATAACAGGATTAACATGTGCTCTGAGGGGAAATGCTACAGATAAAATAGGTGAAAAGAACTTTATACATAAGGAAAAGTTGCTAGCTGCTAATAGTTCTAATCTTATTTTTAAAAGTCATCTCTCTTCTTCAGACATTAGATATGCTAGTGGGTCAAAAAGACATTGAGAAAGCTCTGATGATTTTTGTGTTTGAATCAAGGTTTTCAGTTGACCAATCTTCCTCCTGCCAGCCTACATGACGTTGTAGCCCCTAGAACCTCCCTGCCATTCTTGAAAAAATACAGCCGTCCATGGGGCTTCTGTCCCTGGGTTATGAGGAAGTCAGGGCTTTGGGGGCTAAATATACCTATAACTTCCATTAAAGGGGTTATGACCATCTGGTTTAGATCATCTGCATTAAAACAAAGGCGTGTAGAATTTCTCTTGCCATAGTTTTAGGCATTGCCAAGAGGAGTGGGAAAAAAAAGATTGTTTTTAAAAAAATGCTAAATCTATAGGGAATAACTTAATTCAGGAATTTCCTTTGAACTGAAAAAGCACAGCTGAAAATCTGGGACACAATTTCCATCTCATTAAATGACTCTCCCATATATGAAGGACCCCAAAACTTGCCCTAATTGGCTCTGCAGTTGGTGAAGTGCATGCTGTGACTTTGATGTAGAAATGGCAGAAAGGATCTATGTACATTAAAGATCTAGTTTCCTTCCCATCAGCCCCCACTGAGGGGAAGCAGGAGGAGGGTGAGGTGTCATATATGCTGAGTCATCTAAAATATTCCCAATGTAATGAGATTTCCTGCTTGTGAATTCTTTCCTGGAACTATATTTTAAATTAGAACTACTTAAAAGAAGTTAGACACCAACTATCTGCAAAAGATCAACTGACATTTAAAGTATTCTAAAATTCAGGCTTGAAATTTAGTCCTTTTGCTTTGATCCCTTCTCAAGACTGGGAGACAAGTCTTAGGAAAGAATAAAGAAAATGAGCAAAAAAACTAATAAGGTAACTCTCATCTTTCACTGTCACAACCTTGAAATAAAGCCCATCATTCATCAGCAGCCTCAACAGCTGAGATCACACTTTCTTGCATCTCACTAGCTCTGTAGAAAAAAACTCATCACTGTTCATAAAAAAGCAAGTCAGGCCCTCCCTGGTGGTCCAGCGGGTTAAAGCACAGCACTGAGAATCTAAAGCCGCTTCCTCATGAGTTCGATTCCTGCCTGTCCTGGAGGTGATCACATGGTGTGGCAGACCTCTCCTGACCCGCCTGCTGCTCCCCTCAGCAGTGTAATTCCTCGATCTGCCTGTTCTGCTCCCCACTCTGTCTCTGGTGAAGCCTCTCGCCGCCCCTGAGCCTCTGGCCTGTACCCAGTTCTGTATGCACAAATAAATAAATCTTTAAAAAAAAAAAAAAAGCAAGTTAATTGGAAGAGTTTCATCAGATAGCAAAGATACTAAGGTTCAGATAAACTTGCTAAATATTATGCATGAGTTCCTATGTTCTAAAGTAGTCTAAAACATTGTAAATTTATCACTATTCTCTTTTAACGCTCTATGCCTGGGACCCCTATCAGGATTACATTTGTCCTATAAAGTCATGATTAATTGTGTCAATGATTTTTTTCTTGGCTAAAGTGTGAAGAGAAAGTGCTGATCACTTTAGAAGCTTGTAAGTTGCCACAGTCATGTAGGGAAGAATATGATAGTCTAATGCATTTTTGCAGATTTCTGGCATCTTATGTGAGAGAAATCCCTCAAATAGGTAGTCTTTTGCTGTTTTTGTTTTGACAGAGAAGAAATGGGGTATAAGCTAGCGGTGCAGGAGGTAAGAGGGTTCACCAGAGACAGAGTGGGGAGCAGAACAGGCAGATCTAATGAAATGTACTGCTGAGGGGAAGATCAGGCAAGACAGGAGAGGTGTGCTGTGCCATATGTGGGTTAGCTCCCTAGCCAGGGATACAACTCAGGACATAGTGGTGATATCGCTGAGAATTAACCCCTAGGCCACAGGAAGGTCCCTTGACTAACTAGGTAGTCTTAACAGAGCTGTGAAAATAATTGTTGGCTTGATTGATCACAGTCACTGATTGCATGTTGGAGAAGGGTTTTCTCCTGTAACTGTTTTATAGAGATGGTTAGAATATATTTTTCTGCAGGAGACATGTGATTTCCTTCTTTAAATTTATTAAAGGGGGCCCTTCCTGGTGGTGCGACAGGTTAAAGCACAGCACTATAAAACTATTGCAGCCACTGCAGCACATGTTCAATTCCCAGTCCTGGGTGGGGTGACCCACATGGAAAAGCAGACCACTCCTGTCCTGCCTGCTGCTCCCCTCAGCAGTGTGTTTCAGTACATACTCTTATTCTGCTCCCCACTCTGTCTCTGGTGAATCCTCTCACCCCCCATATCTCTGGCCTGTACCCCAGTTCTGTATGTTTAAATAAATAAATCTTTAAAAATTATTTATTAAAGGGTTTCACTTTGGGTATTGTTGTATTTTCTTGAATTTGAGAAACAGAGAATAAATATGGGCCTAATTGTTAGGTATAGAGTATTAATGAGTATAAGGTAGAATAACATAAATTTTGTATATATTTTTATAGATTTAATATCAAAAAACTATATTCAAAGCTCCTTTTTGAATAAAAAGAGAGGGATATATAGTGATATTTCTTCTCTTCAAATCCTAGAGAAAAAGCAGTTTTTAGACAAAGGGTTTGAACAAAAATTTCAAACAGTTTTTAGAATCATTTACCATATCTCCATAGAGTCTAAAAATCACAACTGGTATAACTTAAAATATGGTTATATTGGATGATATTACCATGTAAATTCCATATCTATAAATTACCCTGTGAAAGGAGTTTTATTTTCCTACAAATATCATTAAAACTACTAGTAAAATAATTAATATGTAATAAAACATGGAATATACCAATTGCATAAAATATTGAAATTTGGGCTCTCACTGGTGGCACAACAAATTAAAGCACCACATTACGAAGCTCTCTGAATCCACTGCAGCATGAGTTTGATCCCCCACCGGGGAGATGACCCACATGGCACGGCAGACCGCTCCTGACCCACCCACTACTCCCCTCAGCAGTGTACTTCCATGATCTGCCTGTTCTGCTCCCCACTCTGTCTCTGGTGAATCCTCTCACCCACCACTCCTCTGGTCTGTATCCCACTTCTGTACATATAAATAAATGCATCTTTAAAAAAATATATATTGAAATTTACTATTTCTCTTACAGTTTTATTTTCATTCGATGTATTAGATTATTGGCAATGACTTTAGCTCTGATATGAGAGACAACATTTCCAGTTGATTAGGCCCTTATTTACTCTGCCTTTACATTTGAGATTCTTTTGAAATGCACCTGCAGGTTGTAGCCAGTCATAGCCAATCTGAACTTGAGTCTTAGATGTTATTTGACATATATATGACCCACCCATCAAGAATCTCATTTAAAGGCTGCTGTTTGAATCATTTGATTAAAGTCAAGATCAATAGTTCCTATTTCTAAATTAACATTAACCCAGAATACAATGTGGAAAGACAAAGTACATTTTACAAAAGAAAGAATTGAAATTATAGACAATGCACGGCATCATTTGACTTTGATTACATATAATGCTTCAAGAAACACATCGATATCTACCAACAGAGAATAGTTCTTATTCCCAACTATTCATTTTGGCCTGAAGAAAGTTATACTCAATTTAACACTAATAGACCCTACCCTTTCGCTATGGTTGACTGAGAAATTCCACCAATAATCCAGATGATCACTAAACTGCTTTAAAATTTCCCTGTTAAAATTTTGCTCTGGCGGTGAATGTGGCACAAGAGGTAGCAAGTTACCAGAAAGCTTGAAGAGGACACCAAATAATCTACCATGAAGTGAGCAGACTTCACTCACTCACTGTGATAACCTTCTAAACAGCTCTCAGGGTTAACCAGAGACCCAACTTCACACATTCTTAGGATTCTTGCCAGTCCTGAAATTGAATTGTTACTGAATTTGACTCACTTGCTATCCAAATTAACCAAGATCTGGAATGACTCTAAAGTCACTTCTCTGAAATAGTTAAATCTTGTCTTTTTTGGCAGAGAATTTCCGATGAGCTGAAATGTACACTTCGTTCTAAAAACAACAAAGCCAAGTGCATCCATGAAGATAAAATTTCTGGACCACTCAGCTAGCCTGACTTCCTAAGATAAAATTCTTATACAGGACTTTATTCAACCTTAATAGTTAAACTAATGAAGTAAATACATAAACCTTAAACCTTCTCCAGGTGACTTCATAGTCCTTTCAGTGAAAGAATCAAAGGTTCTTAAAACATGTTAGACTTCTCTAGAATGGAATAACAAATAAAAACATCACCCCACATTTTTTGGTTCAGTCTTTTGTTTCAAAATCAGGAAGAATGGTAAAAAATTTTAAAGACTCTCTTTGGGATGTGTTTGTTTTTCCTCCTAACTTCAGAAAACTAATTATCGTCCTAGTTTTCCCTGGGAAAGGTATCAGGAACTAAGAAGTCTGTAGAAATCGATTTAATTTTTTTTCCGCACAAGAACTAATGAATAAACAGAGCAATGAATAGTCAGTACCAAAAGATGGTACCATACCTCAACAACTGCCAGTCCAAACGCAATCCCGATGATAACTTGAATACGTCTAGTAACTATGTCCTCTAAACAAACAATGCATGGCTGTTAAAAAAAAATATATAAAAATTACCTTTAATAAAATTTGACTTCAATTTGATTAATTTATTTTGGTAGCTAAACACCCTCGGCCAAAGGATTTAGATGATTCATTCCATGCCCTGCTCTTCCTCCTCTCCAAAAGGCCACTCACTGTTGTCTGTCTGCCCATTAAATCTCATGAAGAGCAAAAATTCCCATCACTCCCCTAATTTCTGAATCTACAGAGACTGCATTGCAAATAATAATTTTATCCTGTCTTCGAATAATTCATTTTAGAACTGTTACCATATTTACTGTATAATGTTTAGGTTTGTAACCTGTAGCAGTGTTTCCCTGGGGCTTCAGCTAATAATTCATATTTTCACTTTTAAAACAAAAATTTTTCAAAAGTCCTTAATGATGTGTGTCAGTATTGTGTTTATTTTTCAAAGAAACATATCATTTAAAACATTTCATTAACTATTAAGCCATTACTTTTGATTAGAAAGAAAGTTTAGAACGTCCGTGACTGCCACATTTTTTTTGAAGTTTATGCAAACCAGAATGCAATTCCAATTTTAAAATATTTCAGGCCATACCTAACTATTCCAATGACCATAATTTTTAAATATAAAATATTATACTATGTGATTTTGTAATATTACCAGAAAATATATCAGCCCTATGACAGTCTTACATGTGCAAAAGACTAACAAGATACTGCTATTTATTAAGTAAAATAAAGTTTTCCATAAAGTTGAGTTAAGACAGTCTTATCCCATCGTTCCTGCATGGATCTTCCCCTCTCATCTTACCCAAATTAGCAACCATTCCAGGAGATTATTATACCACTTAGGGTTAATTATGAGACTAATGATCATCTCTACTGAGTTACACTCATTATACTTAGAGAGTTTATGATAGCCAGGTTATCTTGGCAAAAGGGAGGGAAAAATAAAATGTAAGTTATGGCCATTTCAGACACTAATTTTTCCAGGCTTTTTGCAAATGACAAAAGGCAGATGGAAGTATTTTTTTAATTTATGGACTTCTTTTTGGGAACTGCTCTAGCTACCAGCCTATATTCAGCTGAATTATGTGAAAATTTGAAGTGAGTGTCTATTATTTTTTAGAATAATGGTAGGGCTTTTCAAAATTCTATCCTGAGGAAAAACATCCCTGAGTTGAATGTTAACAGGAGATAAAAATGAATCTTCGATGGAATTTACTGATTTCTTCATTATCCTAAGATGAAACTGTGTTCATTTGCACCATATTTATGTCTCCGCCTTCCCTAGAGATATTGTGTCACTAAAATTAAATAGAGCAGAATAAAAAAAAGAAGAAAACTTTTTTAGAGACTATTATGTTGACAATGAATGGTAGTTCTGTAATCTGGTTGATGATTTCTCCTCCGTTACTCCTCCTGGTAACTGCTGTTACTAGTCACAGTAAATCCCAATTTCCCTTCAAAACAAGATGGTTAATTTTTATAAAATTAATGAAAGGGGTATTATAGTAGCAATAAAGAAGTTTCTAATTTATTGCCATTTCCTACTATGTAATTCATGCCAGTAATCATATTTGAACAAGTGCTAGACTGAAAATAATTTTAAATTAGTACAGAAATTAATCTATTAAATTATAATGGCTTTGTTGCCTCTCTCCCCACCCGTCTATAATTGCCTAAAAAATCCAGAAGCACATCTGCTTCTAGCAAGAGTCTGTCTGACACAAGTAGTCACTGAAGAATAGTAACAAGTAAGTACAACTTGAACACCAATTGTTACTTTTGTACTTACCCTCTTCCCCTCAGAAGGGAGAAGTTATGTCAAGCCCTGTGGTAAAGGACAAAGCTCATTATTCTCTAGAACAGCAAATGTTAAATCTTGAAGATTGAATTAAATGGGGCTCATAACACTTGTGCCTGCCTATATCCAAGAAGTACGTTAATTCTTTGGACTGTGCTTGCCTGTTATCTTTCTTCCTTATTTAAGCATTAGCTTCATGAATGCAGATACCATGTTCTGTTCAATAATGGATCTCCCAGGGTCTGTAGAACTGGCACCAGGAAGTGGTCAATAAATATTTGATGTCTGATGAATTAAACTATAATAAGAAATGTGATATACCTACATTGACATCCACATGTGAAATAAATATGATATCTACAATACATAAAAGATAAGCTCAACTCTGGTGGTCCAAGGGGTGAAAACACAGCACGATGAAGCTCTCCATAGCCACTGAAGCAGGACTTTGATCCCAGTCAGGAGCTGATCCACATAGCTCAGCAGACCTCTCCTGATCCACCCGCTGCTCTCTTCAGCAGTGTATTTCAATGGATGCACTTGTTCTGCTCCCCACTCTGTTTCTGGTGAACCCACTCACCCCAGCACCTCTGGCCTGTACCCCAGTTCTTGTATGCATTAATAAATAAATCTTTAAAAATAATGAAATAAATATCTGATGAATTAAGCAATAAGAAGTGTGATTATACCTACATTGACATCCACATATGGAAGATACATAACATATAAATTCAACTTTCAAAATTCACTTGAAGTGAGGCAACTTCTCAGGTGGAGCAATAAATAATTAGGTAAATTGGTAGATACACTTCTACCTAGGATCAAAATTCATAAAAGCCTGATCCTGGCCCTCCCTGGTGGCGCAGCGGGTTAAAACACAGCACTGAGAATCTAAAGCCGCTTCCACATGAGTTCTATTCCCGCCTGCCCCGGAGGTGACCACATGGTGTGGCAGACCTCTCCTGACCCGCCTGCTGCTCCCCTCAGCAGTGTAATTCCTCGATCTGCCTGTTCTGTTCCCCACTCTGTCTCTGGTGAAGCCTCTTGCCGCCCCTGAGCCTCTGGCCTGTACCCAGTTCTGTATGCACAAATAAATAAATCTTTAAAAAAAAAAAAAGCCTGATCCTTTCTTTATCTCTATAAAGTCCTTGAGATAAAGCCTTCAATTAGAAAAAGGAAACCTTTTATTATTTAAAAAATAATGTGAAAATATTAATTTCTAGAATATTATTTAAAATAGAAAAAGCAAAGAATAATGATTAAAATTACCAAAAGAGGATACAATAAATGTTTATCTGTCAACTTCTACTTTCCCCTGAAAGACTATTTCTTTGACCTATTAATATTCAGTTTTATTAAATTCCAGACCGACCCCTAGAAGAAATTAAATACTTTCACATTTTTAGATCCTCTTTTATCTTTAAATAAAAGATAAAAGGGGATTTCTGCAACTTTTAAATCATAGCTGCCATTGTAATTACTACAAATTAATTTTTGTAGAGACTTTCACAGTGAAGAAAGAAATTAACAGAATCATTTTCAGTGCCAAATTTGATTTAGTTCTTACCTGTTTGTAAACAGTCTTTCCTTGGTAAGTTGTACAAAGACCTGATGCTTGTGAGCATTCACATGACTTGAAATATTCATTAAAATTGTTTCCCCAATCAGCAGGTCCAGTGATCAAACCACAACATTTAAACTGTTTGAAAAGTAGATAGAAAAAGTAGTCACTGATAATACAGCATGGTAAACACACAGAATCGTATTCTTCCAAACATTATTAAATGTTATTACCCTAAAATGCTATGAATGTCTCTTCATCCTCCTCGCTAAATGTTGGAACAAAAATGAAGAAATATTTCATTTGGGGCTTAATAGGAATGAAATAGGGTGGCAGAAGCAAGCATTGAGAAAAGATGAAAGAGTTGCTTTTTACTTTTTAATCACAAAAGAGAGGACAATAATCAGATCTATGTTAGATTTTAGGAGAAGACATTTTCAATGAGTTCACAAAAGACACAAGGTCTCCTTTAAGGAGACTTTGCTAAGAAAGCTGAAAAACCTTACAAGTAAAATTTCCAATTCATGGTCTTTGGTCAGTTTTGGAGAGAAGAAGGAAAACACTAAAAGGTATGTAAAAGAACAAAAGGGATGCTTAGGAGAACTGTACTACATGGAAAGGAAGAAGTGTGTAGAAAATTATCAGAAAGGTTAAGACTCCAAATAAACTAAAATATGGGAAACAAGAGAAAGGAGCAAAGGAATTTGTTTGGGGAAGAAAAGCAAGTCACTGTGTCCAGTGATTCAGAATATATGACACATAATATCATTGATGATAGAGAGAGCCAATCATCTCTCTTCTACCTGCTTTACCAGAGAAAAAGCTCTTCAAAGATGAAAATAGAAAAAAAATTACTGAAGAGGAAACATCCAAATCTGGGTGGTTTTCCAGGTGCAATTACACTGCAATGCCAGGACATCGAAAGAACTTTCATTTCCTGGCTGGGTAACCATGTTATCCATTACCTGAACCTCTCTGGGCCAGTTTCCTTAACTGTGAAATAGAGATAATAATAGTTCTTAATAATAGCATGAAATTCATAGATAGGTTGAAACAATGAAAGTAAGAGAACCCATGTGAAAATAAGAAATACTTAGCCCAGACACTGGCTTAGCCCAGTGTTAGCTATTATTATCTGTATTATTATCTAGTTTGGTTTTGTTGTATTAATTGTTCCTACTATCTTTTCACATGAAGGTGATTGGTTCAACATTATCGTTAATTATTTATTTTTATGACTTTATTTTTTATTGCTGTTGTTTATCCAAGCATTCATTTTTTTATAAATTCAGGTTATATTGAAATATCCCCATCAAGTATTACCCCAGAGGTGTACCCACCTCCAAATCACCCATAACCCACCACCATACTCCATAGTGTGTCCTTCCCTCTTTGTTCTTTTTTTTTTTCAAGATTTATTTATTTATTCATACAGAACTGGGGTACAGGCCAGAGATGCAGCAGAAATGCGGAGGGTAAGAGGATTCACCAGGGACAGAGTGGGGAGCAGAACAGGCAGACAGATGAAGTACACTGCTGAGGGGAGCAGCGGGCGGGTCAGGAGACATCTGCCACGCCATGTGGTCACCTCCGGGGCAAGTGGGGATCGAACTCATGAAGAAGTGGCTTTAGCTTCTTAGTGCTGTGCTTTAACCTGCTGCCCCACCAGGGAGGGTCCCCTCTTTGTTCTTATGCCTCGATCACTAATGATTTAGATAAAAATATGGAAAGTATCTTTTCAACTCTGTAGTTGATACAGAAATGGGGGTAATGGCTAATACATTGGAAGCCATAACTGAATTTCAAAGATAGTTTAAGCAAGGGCTTAAACTAACAAGATCAACTGAGGCATATATAAAGTTTTGTACTTTGGTTTAAAGACTTAATTGCAGAAATATATGACTGTGCAGAAACTCATATGTCAAAGAGCTGGAGATTTCACTTGACCCCAAAGTCAATATTAATACTAGTAATGAGGGTAAGCTTGATTCAATCTCCTGTCTTTCAAGGTAAACATGTATGTGCTCACTCTTGTTCAAATACTCTTGAATGTTATTGATATGAACACTGAAGAAAAAGTAAGTTCCAATATATGTACACAAAGATCAATCTATGCTTGAAATAGAATCTAACTCGGGACTCCATAGGAATTATTTATTTAAAGGATAGAACTTGAGAGGTTAAACCTGACATGCTATCTGGCCACAAGATCAGATGTGAGAGTGACTGAGGAAGCAGATGATGTGGACTTCCAAGAAAGCTTTATAATCACTTGGTGAACAAAGCACTATACAGTAAATGACACAAATCTCTAGATCAATGATCAGCATGAGGAATACAACAGGAGCACACTCCATCAATGTGTAATAGGGAATTAGTATATAAACTCAAAGAGAAAGTCGATTAACATCTGTGAAGATTAGGCAGGAGGCAGATACAAGCACACTTTCAACAACTTAAGTCCAAGTTTTGACATTACCTTAAACATAACAGAAGAGTTAAAACAATTTAAAAAATAAATAGGGTCTAACATAATGATTATAAAGAATTGACAAATGAGATCTGAGTTTGAATTCTAATTCCACCAATTGTTAGCTCTTAGACCTCTCCTATACCCTGATCTCCATGATCTGTAAGATGCAAATGATGAAGTTTATTATCTACCACACAGAGTTAAAAGTTGATTTGGGAAGTGAATGGGCTAGTCCATAGTAAATAGAAATAAATTATAGCCACAGCTACTTTAAGGGAACAAGAGGTAGGACAGAGAGAGAGAATCCCATTACCACAAACACATTATACTTCAAAATGGTAACTACAAAACATGTATTAATCTGGCCCAATTAAGGCTTAAGCTAGCCTAAAAGTAACTTCTTAATCTGCCTTCCAAACTGCCTCAGAACTTGGAAAGAAGTTGGAAAAACAATAGAAGTATTCTTGCATTTCTCTTATCGTATGTATGGTGACAGAATAATCAGTCAAAGTATGCAAAAAGGGAGACATTTTTCAATCACTAAGCAAAATGCTTGTTAAAAATAAGGAAAACACAGAACTATGTTCAACTCTTTCCAAAAACCTACAAGTTCTAATTACCTGTTCTTGAAACATAACTATGGCTTGCTGGAACACTTTCGCAGCATCATCTGTTGCAGTCAAAAGGCGTACATTTTCATAAAGAATATCACTCAGAATATGGTCTGCCTGAAAGTGGACAGATAATATTAAATTATTCATACTACAAAGTCATGTTCTAGTTCTTTAGACATTGCCAAAGTCATCAAATATATGTGCACATACCTTAGATCTGAAAGAAACTGATAAGATACCTGCTGCCACCTGCAAAGTCAGGATCAGAAGCAAGCCGATAAAAAACTGGGAGAGAGGAGGAAAAAGATAATAGCTATATTACATATTACACATTTTATCCCTGTGCACTGAGTAAATAAAATCTTGGCACATTGCAGCTGGGCACTTCTTTCTTCAGTTGGAATCAAATCACAGTTGGAATATTAATCACAAACTCCATTCTTTGCATCAAATATCAATAGCAAATTGGGAGGCCATTACTTCTCAGATATACTGACAATGACTGACCAAAGAAAGTAATTAAAACAAACAAACAAAAAAATCACTGATCAATATTAGAGGCACTGCGGTGATGTTGAATGAGAGTTTCAAAACATCTAACACAAATTCAGAATTGATTTTAATACAGTGCTTCGACCATTATCAGAATCAACTGGGATCTTGTCATAAATGCACATTCTAATTAGAATTTTTAAAATGCAGCCCACAAATTAAATATTTGGACAAGCTCTCTGAGTAGGTCAAGTCCCTAAATTGCAAATAAGACTTTATTAATTAAAAAGCAAACATGAGGAATGCTGTGAGAACTCCATTCAAACTCTTATCTCTATCTATTCTAAACAAATAGCTAAAAATATTTTCTCAGGGACTGATTCAATACATTTTTTTATTAAACAAACAAGTTTAGATGATGACTAATAAACTCTTGTCATATTTATAACTAATAAATACTTGATGCTTTTTTCTAATACTTTTCTATATTTACTACTTTTTACCATATATGTTAAAAATGAATGTTTGTTACCCCCACCAATCCATCCTACTTGAAGTTTTCTAAGAAACAAAACCAAATATTGTGTTCTCTTACAATTTTCCTAGAATATAATTGGTCCACAATTCACACTCAGATTTAGCTCCCCCTTCACTTACTAAAAATCATCTATTATTACTCTCTCTAGACATTCCTCAGACCTTAGAGTTCCCCCAAAATGCCCAAATTGCATTGCACTCTCCCTGGAAAAAAATCATCACATCCTCACCCAGTCAAGGTCCTTATTCACTTCTACTCCTGACTTGAGGGTTCTCTATCTTTGTTTTCTTCCTGGGACACATCCATGGTCACTAATTGTTTATTCTTGATCTTCTCGATGTTTATTCTTGATCTTCTCAAATGAGTTCTACTTTTAAGGTCTGTGTCTGTATCATTTAACATAGTACCTGGCATACAGCAGGTACACAGCATAATAACTGAATAATGACTAAATGAATGACTAAGATTTCTATTCTCTTAGGGTACCCCTAATCTAAACTAATCATATTAACCTCCTTAACTGAGCTCTCTAAACTTAACCTAGAGTTTTAAGAATCTTGGCAAGTACTTTAGAACCCCCCCCCAAAAAAAAAGGGTACAGGAGCAATGCTCAGCACTCTGAACTTGAACCAACCTGTTGGGTTGTTTCTGAACTCACCGCAAGAAGCACACAGCGGTTTTCTGAGACTGCACCACAGCACCCCAGGAACCCCAGTATCATGATGATAGCACCCACCACAATCAAGATATTCATAGCAACATAGGGATTAATGTCAAAATTCCCTTCACCTACAATCTGAAAATAAAAAGATAAAAATGACATTTGATGAATGTTATTTGTTGTTTGTCATTCAACAAATATCCACTGGGTATATTCTATCTGCCTACCCCTCTTCTAGGACCCTAAACCAGCAAAAATCTCTTCCCTCAAAGAGCATACATATTACTCCTCTGACTGATGTTCCCAACTTCAAGTTTTCTAAGATGATATATCAAATATTGGGTGGAAGTAGACTTTTAAAACATGAGCTATTTTTAAAACTTACAAAGACAAGTACTTTCACTTATGATGCATTCTTCAATTTGCATATTTTGTCTTTTATATATCTGGGACATTCTAAAATGTGTTAGCATGACTATTTAATTATTTATCTAAATTTCCAAATTTCTCAAACTGGTATGAAGTCCAACATAAATGAATCTCAAAAAATATGTTGAATTAAATAAGCCCTATTCAAAAGAGTGATTACTGCATGATTCCATTTATGTGATGTTCAAAAATAGGCAAATCCAAACTATGAGGATAGATTTTAGAGCACTGTCTGACTTTGGTCTGGATAATAGGGAAAAGAGGAATTCACTGAACAAGGATATAATTAAAGTTATGGCTTTGTTATGGACTGTAGCAGTGATTATATAGGTTTATATATTCTTCCAAAACAAACAAAAGAAGAAAAAACAAATTCCTGCTAATCCCTATTGACACTATATCCTTTTTCCAAGAAGGTACAATCCACAGTTTTCCTGAAATTCTTTATTTTTACCTAATAGGACCACAAGGAAAAAAGTACTAAGATTCTTTATGCATAATTCCTTTCTTCTCCCCCTCCACACATAACCCAAGCTCTCTCTCCAGGCCCACAAGTGTTTCATTTTATATCAAATATGGTTCCTTACCTCCACCCTTATTTCCCAGCAATCCCCATTTCAAGAAGTCAAAAATCATGGCAGATTCATGGCATGATGGGACTTGTGATCCTTGGTGCCTGGGTTTTCTTTCACAGTGAAATGGGCGTGGATTCAATAAAATATCAGTGGGTGACATTCATTCAGGACATCATCTACCCCCAACAGATACAGTGCTAGTTCTTAGTCTCACCAAAATACCTGTCACTTACGATCTGCTGCACAGCATATAGGTAAGTTTCCTTTCCAGCTCACAGAAAAGGATATTGCTGTTTATGATCTTACTTTTTTCAAGACTTTTTAAAATCAATTTGTAGCCCAGAAGAAACATTTAAGGTAAAAAGCCTTACGGTAAAGGACTATTTTCCAGTCAGGATATCCAAACATATACTTCTAGCTCAGTCAATTAACTTTTTCCCACTTATAAATGGAACTGATCCAGCCTTTGGAATACATAGGCTACCTTGGTCTCAAAGTCTGACTGCTTCAATTTATGTATTCAGAAAGTTCATTTACATCCTGAGGATTTTTTGCTTGCTTTTCAGTTTTTTTTTTTTTCTATTTGTTTTATAAGATTGTAGCTACAAAATCAGCAAGGAATCTGGGTCCAAATCGCTAATGACAAAAAAAAAAATCTTTCCCCAATCAACCTCAAAAACTTCCTCACCAGAAGATGGTGGCCAGTGCAGGCAATTGCTAAGATGTCTGGAAAACAGAAGCCTTACTGGCTGAGACCCCAGGACTCTAGTTAGATAGCCCAGACATAAGTCAAACATGCACAAGTGAGGACTGGCTACTGCAGCACACATTTTTTCAGCATGTAATGAAGTATTTTTATGAGACTGATGTGGACAGGGTGACCTAGAGACACTGTGTTGACTGCCTGGGCAGGAAGGGGAGGGGGGAGTCACTGTTCTAAGTTCAGCCCCCCCAAAGGCTCTTCTTATCCAGAAGAGAAGTGAAAATTTGAGTTCAAGTGTTTGCTCCAGGAAAGGGACAGCAGTTTGAAAAGTTGTCTTGGATAAACAGTGTCTGTGTGGGCATCAGGACAAGGAGAGAATTTCTAAAGAAGAGGAATGACTGAATCTGGAAGAAAAGGCCTCAGCGTCCTTTTTGGATAATAAAGGCTCCCCTGGGCTAAAGTGGCTGCCTGTCTGTTTTGGCTCAAGGTGCTGAGTTCAACCTGAGGGAGAACAAAACATTCCTAGGAGACATTTTCATGCAGAGACCAAAGATAGGCATCAAGACATCCTTGACATTCTTCTTTGTTTATGCTTATGTTTCCCTTTCTAGAATTACCACTGCTTTTCCATTAGTAAAGACTAATTAAGACTGCTCTTTGCCCAGTCTTAATTCTTTGTTACTGACTTCAGATAAATACAAATCAATTCAATTTCACATTAATTAGGCTGTTTAATGCTGTCCCAGCAGATACTGACTTTTGTCTAGTGTTAGAGGCTGACTCTACCAGAGTAAAGTGTAACCAAAGATGCTGTCTAGTTCTGTTAATTTTTCTCATCCCAGACATGAAATAACACCCTCTCAAGGACAAATGTTCCCCTTTAATATATTCAATGTGTGTAAATTCTTAACAGACTAAACAAATTTGTTTACCAGGAGCACTGAGGGGAAATAAACTGTTCCCACCTCAACCAGAAATAAAACAAAATAAAACAATATAAAGTGCAGACTGCATACACATCTTTAAAATTCAACACACTCTCTAAATGAGCAACCATCAATTTCTATGCTTAACTATGAGTTTCCAATTCAGACATTGGCTTCTAGGCAAGTAAGATGATGCATACCATCAGATACCCTTGTTGGACTCAACTTCCAGATTTTAAGGTCATGAGGAAGTCAGAGTTGCATTCATCAGTAGAAATGAATCAGTTAGGTCCTAGTCATTAACTAGGAGTCATCAGACTAGTTGGCATACCTGTCCTGCTCCCAATTTTTCCACCATCACAGGCATAGAAAAGACACTCCAGTTTGAGAAACCTCCACACAGCTTTCTATAGTGGTAGCACCAGTTTGCCTTCCCACCAACAGTATAGGAGAGTTTCTTTTTCTCCACACTCTTGCCAACATTTATTGTCGCTTGTTTATTTAATATGTGCCTTCCTCGCTGGTGTGAAGTGGTAATAAGGTAAAAAAGAACATCAACTAACAACTATAAACCAGATACATTCTACAGGGGAGGAGAAGGAAACAAGCACATGGGATTACAACTGAAATGAAAAAAAAATGTATAAAATGAAGAGTGATGTAAAAAATATGTATTTATAATATTAAAGAAAAAAAGAAAAGCCACTTCATTTAGAAAGGAATGAGAAGAGATAGAAACTTGCTTGTAAGCTTTCTTTTAACCAAGGTATCACCACAGGCATTTAGTTTCACTATGATGACATGAATTTTTATAGAAATGTTTTACTTTAATTACTGGCTTAATAATACCTGAACAGTTGTCTAATTCAAATTCCTCTTAGGGATGAAAAATTCCTTTGAGAGAGAAAATTCATTTGGAAAAATACTTTGAAGGGCTCTGACAATAGATGTGATTCTGAAGAGTGGCAGGAGCCTAGACAAAAAAGAAAAAGGGAATAGGTTGGCGGAGGCCCAAAAGGATAATTTGGGTAAGGGGTAGTCTCTGAGGAAAAGAAGGGAGAGGAAAGTGTGGAAGTATGAGAGGAGCAAGGAAATGATAGCAGGCTGGCACTGCTGTTGGGTAAAGCTGACAGAACAACCTCCAGGCTTTGCTCTTCCTTCCTCCATTCCCCCACTCCCAACCCCTTCTTTCCACATTCATGATACTGTGTTACAGGACAGAAACAGCAGAAGTGGAATCCAAGGGCCAGAGCCAGAGTCAATTGTGTGAACGAAACTTCCTTCAGAACTGTGGAAAGCTTAGTAAGAGCTCTGAACAAAACATGGAATGGGGTGTGCTGAAGGAAAAGGGGCAAACTAAGCTGAATGCAAACAGCAAGCTGCTTCATTTCACAGCCACCTGCTGGGCACATGTGTGAGGGCCTCTTCTAGTTGTAAGGAGGTCCCCTGAATGCCAGCTGTCATAGGCAATCTCCTGCTATCCTTATACTTTGTGGTCTTCAAAATCCAGTTTCAATAATTGCTTTCTATCCAGGGCATAAATATTCTTCTCTCATAAAACTCTTTTTTCACAAAATAATGTAACTTAAGTGAGATAATCTTCATATACAATGAAATTCTTTGAAAGAGTATAATTCAGTGCAACCACCACCATAATTACAGAGCATTTTCATCACCCTGAAAGGAAACCTGTACCCACCAGTATCAATCTTGATCCTCACAGCCCACACCCCCATAACCTGCCTCAACTCCCTGATAACCACAAATCTACTTACAGTCTCTAAGGATTTGCCTATTCTGGATATATCACATATGGAATCATACAATTGATATGTGACCCTGTGACTGTATTCTTTCATTGAGCATAATATTTTAACATGTTCACGCTCTGTTGTAGCATGTACCAATACCCCATTCCTTTTTATGTTTCTTTTCCTATGCCATTGTGTGACTATGTCACAATGTGTTTTATTCAGTCCTCAACTGATAGACATTTGAGTTCTTTCAAGTTTTTGACTATTATGAATAATGTGGTGAACATTTGTATACACATTTTTACGTGGCCACATCTTTTGATTCCCTTGGGTATATAGAGGAACTTCAAATTTTTACTGTAAAAGAGAATGGGGGAGGGAAGAAGGGATAGGAAAAGAAAGGAGATAGGTCACTGGTACAGGAGTATTGGTGGAGGGTGAGTGAAGCATGGGTATTTATGGAGGTATAGAACTGATTACACAGATATATAAACAGTTGACAAATTAAATTTTAATTTCATGTAGTTAAATTAGTGATTAACATACATTTAAAATACCAGATTCAAATTTTTCCCCAGGAGAACTTCACATCTTTTTAAATTTAGACCACCACAATCTTGGGATCAGTTACTTCTACTTTATAAATTGCTCCTGGTCCAGAAGACTGAAAGGTCTGTATATTTCAAGCTATATTTAGGCTGCCCTTAAGCAAATAACAAAGGAAGTTAATTCCTATTTTGGCCCCTACCTATTTCCTTCTTCCATTTTCATTGCAATCTTCCTATATTTTTTCCATTTTCTGGAAGGAGCTCCCTGCCTAACACAGTGCTAGGCACATAGTAATCTTGCTAATTGAATTCAGTGAAATTGTACCATTAAACCACATATCAACACAAATGATTACATGAGTCAGTTAAGGAATATGTTATCAAAATTATTTATTACGTTGTCATAGTTATTACATTCATCATTAGAGGAAACAAACTATTTTGGGGGGTGCAGTGAAGAAGCTTATATTTATTTATTTACCTCACTCGTGCCTTTGGCTCTTTGTAGCCAAAGTGTTACTGACATGATGGAGAGACCACATATCTGCAGGGAAAAGAACATGTTAGAGGGCAATTAAGGTAAAATAAAGCTCTAATTCCATATTCCCAGCCATCTAGTTACTATAATTTATTATTAATTATACCACTACCACCTAAAACACATAAATGAGGACTAGTCAAGTACAGATAATTGCTACAAAGTTCATAAGTCTAAGTTTGATAACAACAATTCTGTTTCCCATCCATATTCCATTCATAGATTTGGAACAAGTTGTTTCAGCTCTGAGTTTTTTAACACACGAAAGATAGGTCACAACAGTTTAAATACAAAATAGCTTTATTAATACCTTGGGTTTGTATCTGCAAAGCTGTCTTAGACCATATAGGGAGGAAATAGACATTTCTTCAAGATTCAAGGAGCAAGACACTGGGATACACAGAGAAAAAGTAGAATAGGAAGAAGTTGTAATTTTGTACCCAAATAAGATCTTTTAAAAAGAAGTCTCTTTTAGGTAGTAAAGTTTAACCAGAAAGGAAGAACAATGAGGAACAGTACTTAAAGTCTTACATTCCATTAATGACTTTACCAGATTATTTAATTTGGACCAAGGCCAACACATAAAATGTGAAACACATTTTACTCTAATGTAAGGAAACCCCTTGTCTTTCAGGAATTTGCTCTTTTTAAAGATATATGTTGTGACCTCAAAAACAAAAATCAAATATCTATTATTGGATAGAGAAGTTAAGAACAAGATTGGTAACATACCAGACACAGCAGGCTTTGGAGGACTTTCTAGACTATTCTGGCCTTATGGAAGCTTTCATAGAAAAATGCCTGAGTCCCCCAAAACATGCATACTGATTCCAGCATGGTTGAGCCATATGCCTGAAGTCCCAAACCAGCAATTTTAATGACTCTCTAAAAATCTTTATTAGTAGTAGTAGTAGTAACAATGGTTTGCTACACCATATATGATTTAGAGGTATATGATCAATATGATCACCACAACCCACCCACTACCAGTGCCCACAATCCTCTACCATATTCCACTGTGTGCTCTCCACACCCTCCATTCTACTCCCATGCCCACTAGCTTTAATTCTAAAACATTCACTTTTAACAACTTCTCAGTTACTGAAGTAGAAAGTGCTTTAACTGTGACTAAAGATCTTTGTTACAGCAGAGGGAAGGATGTACATAGCTGGATAACTATTGAGTTTATGTTCCCTGAAAGATGTCAAAAAGTCATCTATGTTGAAATCCTTCAATTTGGTTAGAAATAAATAAAAACTAGAACCCTGAGATGTAATATTCACATCGTGAAAATCCAGCATCACACACAATCTAGTTTTGCCCTACTATATATGCCAACTCAAGAAAATAACAAATATAATGAAAAATCAAAACTCTATCAAATTGCCAAATAACCTATACAGTTGAATTCTTATTTGCATCCACAGACACATTCAAATATAAAATATACACCACTGGGGGAAAAAAGTTTTGGAGCCTGAAAACCCTCTTTATTTCTTCTGTCCTTTTCTACTAATTTCTAATTTCATTTGCAGGTGGAATGAACTACCTGTTTTAGCAGTTCTTTCTTAATAAGTCTGTAAAAATATCTCACATGATAATGAGGCCCTATGGAATTTTCACTTTTTATAATATTTAAATGTCAATGTAATACTTCAGTTTTGTAACAGTTGGATTTTTTTATTTGACTTTCAGACTAGTTATTTTTTCCTCTCTTGTTTACAAGTAGGTTTACATCGATAGTTTTAATAATCACTCTGACTTTTAGCTTTAACTGAAAAAGTATAAAACATCCAAATAGCTATTGTGGTTATCAACTTTACCTTATATTTACTTATGAAAGCAACGATGAGAAAACTTAGGACGCTTAGAGACTAAGGGCATGATAGTTTTTAAAGCCATCTTGTTTCTGTGTGTCTTTTTTGTTCAATATTTCAATGTATTTAGACTTCAAACCATTCAGTAATCTCATGAAACTGTTAAGGGGAAGGATGTCCTGAAGGAACTCTGCAGAGTCTTATGTACCCCACCCCCTACTACAGCTTTCTGGACCCTAGCCCCTACTCCAGTGATTGGAAACTACAACTCCCAGCAGTACCAGGGAGAGAACTGCAATGACCCAAGGGCGTAGCTAGCAGGAATTCTGGGACATTTGGGGGATAAATAGGGCGCCATTGCATCTCTTGCTTGGGAAGAAGCTCTCTGGGCTGTGTGACTTGGTGTGTTCAGTCAGCCTAGCCGTAAGGTATTCTGTTCTCTTTCCCTGGGTTGTTTCCTATTCCTTTCCCTTTTGTAAATAAACCCGTTATTGACCCTCTTGTGTGTACCTGCAGTATAACTGAATTGTGAGCGCACAGGTGAGGCCCCACAGACAGGCAGCCCAGTCTACTCTGGGCTACCCTGTAACAAAACCACTACATTTGTCCCACAAATCATAATTTTTGTCTTCTCAATCACTGAAAAAACTTGAAACATTGATACTTTTACAAAGGAATAGCAGGGCCCTCCCTGGTAGCTCAAAGGGTTAAAGTACTATGAAGCTACCTGAGGCACAAGTTCGATCCCCAGCCAGGGAAGTGATCCACATGGCATAGCAGACCTCTCCTGACGGGCTCCCTGCTCCCCTCAGCAGTGGATTTCAGTTCATTCGCCTGCTCTGTTCCTCACTCTGTCTCTAGTGGATCCTCTCACTACCCGCACCTCTGGCCTGTTTTTGTATGTATAAATAAATTAAAATATTTAAGAAAGGTTTAATAATTAATTAAATGGAGAATTAATTAATTAATTGAAAGGAGTCATAAAACCACAATGAGCTACTACTATACACCTAACAGTAGGACCCAGATCTGGAACACTGATATGAAATGCCGTTTTCTTGTTAGTTTTGTCTTTTCTTACTACACAGCTATTTAAGTCTAGTTTAACTGTACTGTAGTAAGAGAATGTAGACAGTACAGTTGGTGCTTGTGAGAAATTTTAAACATTTATTAGTTCAATTTTAATTTGATTGATATTTTGGTTCAATTCATTTTGTCCTCTTTTTCAGAAATGTAAATTGCATTGAATTTCTGTTCTCTGCTTTCTGTCTCAATCATCCTTTTTCAAATCATTTATCTTTTTCCTATTTTCTTCTTGGAGTGCTTCTCAATTTGGAATTCTGCATCACAGTGGATTTTCACTCTGTCACTGTGTTCCTTGTTGACCAACTTCATTTTATCCCTTTCCCTTTTCCTCTCATTCTCTGATTTCCAGTTAAGTTCTCTTCTAGCCTCCAATTACTGTTTCATGGAGGGTCATTTTCTGGCATTGTTTTGGATACTTATTTTCTAATACTTTTTCTCATCATGCTGGGGTGTTTTGTTCCTGTTTTTGTTTTCAAGAATGTGTCTTGTCCCCTGATGCAGCAGGGTTACATTGCTTTTCACTTGTTAAAAGTGTTTATTAGGTTTTAGGTTATATTATCCCTCCGTCATTCTTGATTTGGAAGAGAATTATTCTGGGCACAATGGACTAAAGTGCAGCACTGCAAAGGTAGATGCAGCCCCTTCAGCAAAGTTTGATTCCTGGCGCGGCAGACCTCTCCTGTCTCACCTGCTGCTCCCCTCAGCAGGTACTTTGTCAATCTGCCTGTTCTTCTCCCCACTCTGTCTCCAGTGAAGCCTCTCACCACCTTGCACCTCTGGCCTGTACCCCAGTTCTGTATGCATAAATAAATAAGTCTTTAAAAAAGAGAGACCAAGAATTATTCTGATTTACTTTTCATTGAGTCAGTAAGGTATGTACTTTGCCTCACTCCCTAGCAGACAGCATGGGTTATGGAAATTCTCAGATTTCCTGCTGGAGGGGAGGTTGCTGTACATTCTCTCTACTGGTGTAGCCTAAAGTCAGGCTACTTTACTTAGATGACTTCTACCCTTCACATAATATCTGATTTTCTGATGCTTTAAAACAGTGAAATAAACTGAAGACTGATTTCTGACATCAAGGTTTTCCTATCTTCTGTCACAAATGATGTTTATTCTATACACGAGTATTAAATGCATCAAGTGAAATGTCTCCCTCATTGCATTCATGTACTTCTTCTAGAACTATTACGTAAGCCACACACCACCTAAACTACTGCAAACTCCTAGCTCTCAATTTAGAAGAAAGATATCAACATTTCTTTCTGACACAAATGGGAATAGGTAAATGCACTTTAGGTAATGTTTCCTGCACTAAAGTATAACATTCCTAAATCACTGACTTCAAAATATATGAACTGTTCACAATTTGAGGAACAAAGTAATATTTCTGAATCATAAAATGAGGCAAAAATTCAGGGATGTTTTTACTTTGTTTCAAAAGTACAGCATTCATGTAAGTAACATCTGCAGACCTTTCCATACCTGTACAGAGTTTAGGCCAAGAATTCCAGTAACAGTCCAGTTTCCATATTGAGACGTTACAACTTCAGGTAATATACATATATAAAATGGGTCTTAGCTTCCTGCCTCAAAAATGTGTGTTCGATGAATAGCCTGAAAGGCTAGGTTTGACTTAGGATTGAGACTCCTTGGTATCTGTTAGCCCAGGAGGTGATCAAGGAAGAGTTCCCACCAACCCTCACTCCAAGTTCTGTCTTGAACTCTAAGGAACCTGTCAGGATGAGGTACAGACTTCTCAGCTTATAAACCCAAACTGCTTACGTGCCCTCTGCAATCCAAGCGCAACTCCCTTGTTCATGCAGGGAGACGGGCCTATACAGCCCTGGAAGAAGGTTTGGGGCTATTCAGGCAGTAAAACTGGGGATCCCATGTATAGGAAGAGAGGACCAGGCTTACAGTGAGCATGTCCTTTAGTATCACAGATTCCTTGTACCAAGAGTCAGACCCAAAATAGATTTAATTATTTTAATTATATAAGTTTATTTTTACATATTTTTGTGCATTTTTCCATCTCAGTTGCAATCCCCTTGGGTTTCCCATCACCAAGTCACCCATGTGCCATCACCAAATAGATTTAAT